CGAGGCTTGGCGAGCAACTGTCGACCGTTGGCCAGCCGTGGGTGGTCGGTGCCGATTTTAACTTGGAGCCGGCTGAGCTCGAGTCTTCAAGTTTTGTGTCTGAGTTGAGGGCTTCCCTCATCTTCCCCCTTGTTGCGACGCACTATCCTGCGGGCCCTCCCACGACTTTCGACTTCTTCGTTTGTTCGGGCGGTCGTGCTAAGGGTCTCAAGTCGGTCGATACGAGATTGGATACGGAGCTCCCCCCCCATAGGCCCGTCCAGTTGGTTTTCCATCCCAAGCTGGCGGTGCTTCACGCTCTCTCTTTCAGGAAGCCTCCCCCCTTGCCTTGCCAAGTGGTTTTCGGCCCTGCCCCCAGGGAGAGATGTTGGGCTGGGGAACTTGCGCTGGCGTCAGAGGCTGAACGTTGTCTCCAGAATGGTGGCGGTCAGGGGGCCAAACGTCTTTTGGGTCCGCTCTACAGGAAGTGGGCTGACCACGCGGAGCGTGACCTCATTCCTTTGGTGGGCGTCGCCCCTCCCAAGTTAGGTTCCAGGGGTCTGGGTCCTCAACTTGTGTGGAAACCTATCCTGGGCCAGGACGGGAAGGTGCGTTATCCTGGTCATCGCGCGATCCGTTGGCTCGGGCAACAGCTTCGCGCCTTCATGCACGCTCGGCGCGGAGGCGCTGCTGCCACTGCTGCCAGGCTCAATTGCGTGTTGGCGGAGCCCCCGCCCAGCATCTCGGCCGCCGCGGATGACTACGAGCCGCTGTTCAAGCGTGCGGCTCAGGAGGTCTCCGCCTTTGGCTCTGGTGGGGATGTTGAGTCTCTCGCTGATTTGTACACTCAGGTTCACGAGGCCGCCAAGGCCGCCAGCGCCAAGTACGCCGCCAAGAGCCGAGCTGACTGGGCAGCATGGCTGCACGTTGGCATCAATAAGGGGGCAAAAAGGGTTCATCAGTGCATTAAAGATCCTGTTCCTTGGGTCTCTTCTTCGACTCTCGCTGCTTCAGGTTGCGTTGTCAGCGATCCTCTCTCCCTGCTCAAGGCGGAGGGAGAGAGGTTCAGCAGCATATGGGGTGAAGGTCGGGGGGCCGAATTCGATGGTCAGGTCCTCGAGCCTCTTCCTCGACCCACGGCCAGCGAAATCCGTGATATCTCTAGGTCCTACAAAGACTCTTCGGCTGTGGCTGTGGACGGATTTCACTGCAAGCATTTTTCGTTGTTGCCAGATGCTGCGCTCGATTGCCTCAGCGCCATTTTTTCGATCATGGAAGCGCTAGGCTGCCTTCCTCTGCAGATCTCTGTTGTCACGTTGGCGCTTCTGCCGGAGCCCACTGGTGGCTACAGACCGATTGGGGTGTTCTGCTCCTGGTTCAGGGTTTGGGGCCGCTGTCGGCGGCCCTTTGCCTTGAACTGGGAGCAAGAACACCCCAAACGGTACTGGGCTGCTGGTAGATTTCGAGGAGCCGCCGATGTGGTTTGGCGTCAAGCGGTCACCGCCGAGACGGGTCTTGCCATCGGGGAGTCCCCATGTTCGGTTCTGTTCGATCTTCGCAAGTTCTATGAGAACATTAGCCTGAAAGAGCTGGAGGTCCGCTGCAAGAAACATGGATTCCCTCTTGCGATTGCCCGTCTTTGCATTTATGCCTACAGGTGTGGGCGCTTTCTCTGCCTAGGAGGGTGGCTGGAAGGCCCCTACTTCTGCCAGAATGGGGTCATCGCAAGCTGCTCGATGGCCACCACGTTCATTCGGGTTTTTTTGCCAGGACGGGTACGACCCTCTTCCTGCCATCCCCAGGCTCGACCTCGACGTGTATATCGACGACCAGGGGCTCTCGTGTACGGGCCAACATCGGACCGTGGTCGAATCGATCGTCGCTGGGGCTAAGGCGCTCCATGGTATCGTTGAGGCTTGTTTCGGTTGTTCCCTGGCCCTGGACAAGACTGCTGTGGTTGCTTCTTCGAAGGCCCTGGGGGAGGAGGTGTCTGTCGAAATTTCGCATCTAGGCGGCAATTTTACGTCTAGTGCTGTCAACTTAGGCGTTGACTACACGGCTGGCCGCGCGCTTAGAGTGGCAGGGCGCTCTGTGAAGTCTAAAATGCGTATCGCCAAGGCTGCGAGGGCGGCCAAGAGATTAAAGCGTCAGATCAAAGTCATCTCTAGGCCGCAGGTTCTCAAGGTGTTCTCTTCGGGGCCTCTTGCGGGGGCGTCTTATGGCTCCGAAATTACTGGCACTAGCGACCTCGAGTTGCTTCGGCTTCGTCGTCAAGTGTTTTCTGTGGTCCGTCCCAGATCTCAGCTGAGATCTTTGACGACGGCGGCTTTGCTAGATTATGATCCGTGCTGGCGCACTGCCACCGCCCCCATTCTCCGTTGGTCCAAGGAGATTTGGCTGGCTCAGACTGGGGCTTACTCTTGGGGGTTGGACTTTCCCTCGTTGCGTCGTGCGTGGGAAGCGGTTTTTTCCAACCCTGTCTGCTCCTGGAGGATGGTCTCGGGCCCCGTGTCGGCCCTTCGGATGTCCCTGGTCAGGCTGGGCTGGTCCATGGACAACTTCATGACGGTGCGAGATGACCGTGGCTTTTCGATTCCCCTCGGCATTTTCTCGCCTGCTTTATTTAGGATCTTGCTTAAGGATGGGTACTTTAGGATGTTGGAGAGGCTCTCTGCCGAGAAGAGGGGAGTGCTCCCCAGGATATGCTATGATGTGCTGCGCGAGGCCTTGGCCTCCAAGAAATACACGGCCCTTCAGAAGGCCCATATCAGAGCGTTCGCCACCGAGGCCTTTTTCACGGGAGATCGTGCTGTGAACTTAGGCTACGTCGTGGACGGCAATTGCCCGTTCTGCGGCGCCACGGACACGATCTTTCACAGGTTGTGGGAGTGCCCCCACGAACCAGTGGCTGAGCTTAGATCCTCACTAGTTGATGATAGCACTGTAGCCGAAGCCCTAGCTGCTAAGGACGACGAGGAAGCAGTGTTCGTTTTCATTTCTGGGGCTTTCCGCCACCCCGCCGACGGGTACCCCAGGCCCCTCTCTGAGACGGACAATGGCCCGTTTCTTGTGTGGCACCACCATGATATTTCGTCGCCCTCTGGGGCTAAGCCTGGCACTGAACTTTGGGGTAATGTGTTCATTGACGGCTCCAGCAGCCGCCACACTGTTCGGGAGCTCTCCAGAGCTGGCTGTAGTGCGGTGATGGTCGACGACCAAGGGTCGGCCGTCGCTGAATTTCGGGCCCCTGTGTGGGCCCCTTATCCCCAGACGCCACAGTCGGCTGAGTTCTGCTGCTGGACTTGGGCCAATGTGCTCGCGTCGGCCAGCATCGTTGTGTTCTCCGACTGCAGCAATGTGGTCAATCTTGCCTGTCGGCCTAGGGCCGAGCAGCTGAGTGGGAAGAGGGCCTACTCTGGGGCCTTCCTCCAGCTCTACGCTCAAGGTGTATCGCCTTCAACGTGCACCAAAGTCGCAGCTCATAAGGAGCTGGACGAGGTGGGGATCGACGCAGCTGAGCGCTGGAGGCGCCTCGGCAATCATCACGCGGACGCAGCTGCCAAGCATGCAGCGCGTCTTCATCCTTCTTGTCCAGACAAGCTAGCGGCGGCGGACAAGCTTGTCTCGCAGGCTCGCCAGACGATCAGGCTGGCGGCCCATGTATTGCATGTGTGGCCTTCCTTGGACCTCTCCGAGGCAGGACGAGTTTTAGCCCCGCGTGCCACTGCTGGAGTTTCCGCAGGGCACCGCTGGGAAATGTGGTCTGGAGTGTGGCGCTGTGCTGTTTGCCTCAGAGGCAAGCGTTCTCAGAGTAGGCCCTCGCCTGGTGTCTGCTCCCAGACGTCTCGGCTTCACGCATCCAGTCAGGACGCCCTCGAGCATCGTACGATTGCGTTCGACTGCTCGGATGGCTCGGTTTTGTTTATCTGCACTAGGTGCAAGGCGCATTCCAGTGGAGCTTCTGTCCGTGGTTTAGGCGCCAAGTGCCAGCCGCCTCCTTCGCGAGCTGCGAAATACGGCTGGCAAGCCCTGTGCAAAGGCAAACACCCGCATTACAGGCAGCAGAAAGCGGGTGTGACTGTTGATGTAGGCAATCTTATGCAGTGCTTCAACACCTATGCCTAATTTGTTTTGCAGGCCTGTTGCACCGCCTCGTTGCTGCAGGTGTCAGTTCCTTTATGGTCTTAGAGGAGGGCGTGGAGCCAAAATCCTCCTCCTCCTCCTCCTCCTCCTCCTCCTCCTCCTCCCCGTGTTCGCCACATCCCAGTCGTTCCAGGGGGAGGCTGAGACGGGAGCGGGTGGGAGGAGAGCAGGAGGAGGATATTCCCCCAACAGCGTGCCGGCAATCTCGAGATGAGGGCGGTTGTCCCCCCCTCGCCTCCTCACCGCGATAGTAGAGGCCTCCTAGATGGGGTCGGAGTAGATGGGGTCGAAGGATCGCGCCGCATCGCCGATACATCGGCGATGCATCGGGGATGCATCGGCGACGCATCGGCGATGCATCGGCGATGCATCGGCGATGCAACGGCGACGTCGGCGATGCATCGGTGACGTCGACGTGGAGAAGATCGGGCTCCACCTCGAGCCGAATCGTCGATGCATCGGCGATGCGGCGCGATCCTCCGACCCCATCTACTCGGACCCCATCTGGGAGGCCTAGAGACAGGAGAAGACAGGAGACGCGCGGCCACAACGAAGCGGAAGAGATACCACACGAAACCGGGCTCGATGATGACGCCCTCGTTCGAGCGGCTGTACCCGTGGTCCTCGGCGGGCCGTGCCGCCGGGCGTGCTCCGGCACCCCGCCGGGGTCGACAGCAGGCGCAGTGGAAGGAAGAGGCGACGACTGAGCAACTCACAGTCGGACTCGATTGGACAGGACACGCGAGAGGACACAAGGCCCTTCCGAGGGCCACATTGCCACAAGAATGCAGGAAGTATGGGTCGCGAAACACAAGACACAAAAATACCCTTGAGCTGGCAAGGTCGACCTACTAATCCGGGCCGCCTGTACTTCGTCTTGGCGACACGCTCGAATAAACAACGATCAAGCAAGGAGAACGGAGCGCGCATGGCAAGCTCGCGCGCGCAAGACTCCGAAGCTCTTGAACCCGCGCAGAGCATGCTGCCAGCCATCGTGCTACCATAGGGAGCGCTGGAGAAAGAACGAACACGTTTTTCAGGCCTCGGCGAGTATCGGCCACAACTAGATCCACCGACCAACATCTGAGGAACGGGCCGAAATCGAGAGCCACTCCTGGGCCTTACCTCCATGTCATGAATGCAAATACGCGTGCTACTCGGTTCGAGAGTGTCACTTTGCACCCGTGAGCGCCTCCGCGGCCTGTGGGTTCTTCTGGGCGTAGCACAGGTACGCGCAGCACGGAATCAACACCTCTGGGAAAGGGACCGCCGATTCGCGTCCCGCAGCGGTCGGTACACCAAACTGTCAGCCCAGCCCCAGTCCGTTGAACCCTGTGCATCACCCTCCTCTTGAAACCCCTGAACTCCTGCAAATGCCGTGCCCCAGGTCAGCGCCTCGAAATCGACGACAGCACATCCCCATAGTGACAAAACAACCCTGCTATTATGAGGCACCCATAGCAGGCATTCTGACGGGTACCCATCCTGAATGTTTTATCAATCGTCCCATGCGCTGGACAAACACAGGCCGACCCGCATCAGCTTGTTGTTTGCCGCCCCTAGGTCTAACACCCCTTCGCCGACACCCAGACCTAATCTTGAGAGTCTATGACCATTGTTTCGAGCTGCGTGATTGTGGCCACAGGGGTATCCCTAAATCAGAGAACGAGACTTACATATCGAAATTCCTTATTCACCCTTTGACGCTCCCCTCCCGTGGCCAGCGTCCTCGTCGTCGCGGTCGTCGTCGTCCTTGTCCTTCCAATCCTCCTCCTCTTTCCCATTTAGGTGTTGCTTGAGCTTAGCTGCCCATGCACTCCATCCCTTCTCGAACAGCAGTTACATCTTGTGCAACGCCACTGCTGCCGCGATCAACTGCCAACGTAATCGGTCCATCCGCACTCCCCCCCTGAGGGGGAACGGTCAGGGGGGACCAGGTCAAGAGGTGAAACATTGAATAGCGCTGGGGGGCCAGGTCTGCAGAAGACCCCAAACGGACGTCAAGGGACACAACAAACTCTTCGGTCAAACTGAAACTGATGCACCGCATCGGGCGTCAAGCCGAAACTTTGGACATGGACGGACGTTTATCTTTGCACGTCTTCGCAGGCTCAACCGGCGAGGCGTTTGACCACCTTGACGCCCCTTGTTCGGTGGTCCTGCAGAGGAAGGCGCTCTCTGACCCTCGGCCCGACTCAACTGAAGCGTCGACCTGCAATCGGGGCAGCGTTACAGTCAGTCCGTATAACAAGGATGCGCGGTAAGGATGCAAGGGCCTTGGAGTGCCACGTTCACGTTTTTCGAACGAGGCTGGCCAGCCAAAGCGGCCAAGGATGCACCGAGCAGGCAAAGGCTGCAAAAGGGTACCCTCGGGAAGGTTGCCCATCCTCACTGTGCGGGTTGACCGTACCGATAAATCGGCGATGGGCCCCCGAGGCCGAGACCGCACGCTGGCGGGGTGGGCCACACGCCCCCATGTCAGCGATCGGTGGGCGATCGGGGGTCGAAGCACCCCCCCCCTGAGGCCATCCCCCCCCCCATAGCGCTTCTTCCTCCTCTTCCTCCTCCACCTCCTCCGCCTCCTTCTCCTCCTCCGCCTCCTCCTCCTCCTCATCCTCCGCCCTCCTCACTCCTCCTCCTCCTCCTCCTCCTCCTCCTTCGCCCTCCTCCTCCTCCTCCTCCTCCTCCTCCTCGTCCTCCACCCTGCTCCTCCTCCGCCCTCCTCCCCCTTTTCCAGTTCCAATTCCAATTCCAGTTCGGCCAAGCATCCGCTTCGCACAGGCAACGCAGAAGATTTGCTGAGAAAAACACTCGAGCGAACGGGTGGCAGCGTCGTTGCGAGTCTTGCCAGGGCAGCGATCCGCCAGAAGCTGCACCCGATGCCGAGCGAGACAACCGCACTTGGAGCACCAATCAATCGGGAGAGGGGCTCCAACATCGCTGCCCCGCAAGCGGTGGGACGCGTGAGACTGCCGACATATCAGCGGGAGCCCCAAACAGCGATAGCTGGCGAGGTGGGTCCAGCTGCGCCCGCGATCAAGGCAACGCGCGCAAAACCACCCCTGGTGGCCATTGGCTATTGGGGTCTGGGCAAAGAATAAGCTGGGCTCCTGGCGGGCGCTGCCTCTTGGATATTTCCTTCGCTACATCGCGAAAGGCAGGGCGTCCAGCAACCTCGAGCAAGGCCTTGCAAACGCTCTCTCTCTCTCTCTCTCTTTCTCTCTCTGCTGCTCGAAGCACTCACAGAGACCATCGGGAGTTGGGATCGCTCTTGTCGCTCCCTTGGCGGCCTCATCAGCAACGTGGTTCCCTTTCCAAGCCCAGAACGGCACACCCAACTGGAGTGCTTGCGGCCAGGACTTGTGGGCGCGGACATGCGACGCCCTAAATGACTCCCCGCGATCTCTGCGCCGAAACAGGATGTCCACCCAAAGCTCGGCATGAGGGAGGTAGGAAACGCCGCTTTCCGACCATCGGTCCCAAGTTTTCACCACCGACTGGCAATCACAACCCAACTCGGCGTCACTTGGGCCAGAGAGTCTTAACGCCATCAGAACTGCATACACCTCTGCCCAGTATAGGAGTGGAGAGCATGGGGCAGAGGGCCACAAACACTTGCTAGGACCTGTCCTCCTGCGTCCATCAGCACCACCGCCCAAGCAACAACAATGACGAGAGGCAGGGCGGGATAAAGAGCATATCCATCCGTGCAGGGGTTGCCTTTAGGGAGCCCGTCGCGCGGGCGAACTAATCACTGGATGGCGCCTGAGTGCTGGAGGTTCGGCGTGAACCTGACAGGAGAGGGAAGAATCCACCTCGCAAGGAAAGGATCGTCGTCGTCGCCTCGCCTCCAGCTCCTGACTTCCTCATCGCATCCTAACCGTCCCCGTCCGCCTGCCAGGCAGTCGCAACCGAAACGCCTGTGGCGTGGCGTACCTTGCCCTCCTGGGGCGAGCTGGCATTGCTCATCAACCACGCGACGATCTTGGGACAGTGTGGACTGGGTCACAAGGCCATCTGCAACAGGGGTGGCGAGAAGACTGGCCTGGAGGCCCTTGCCCTGTCGGCGGTGGTCGTCACAAGCCTCTCGCACTGCATCTAACTGGGGGTGTTCGTACTCCTGGCCCTGATGGCTCCATTGGAGTTTCCCCATAAGAAAATCCTTGGTCCCTCGGTCGACGAGCTGCTTCAACGAAACCCTGCGGACCACCTCGAGATCGACCGTCAAACCAGACGGCAAACGCCAGGCGCGACAGCTCTTGGGAATCCATCCAAGCCGATCGAGGGTCATTCTCACAGCTACCGTCGGACCTTTGACTGCGGACCAATCGAATTTGCGTTGCTGCCGGAGGTCTAGCAAGGCCTGAACGACACTGGACATCTGCTCCCGTGTCGCCCAGCCTTACCGAAAGGCCGTATCCCAAGACATTAGAGGCAATGAAAGACTGATGAAGGCAGGGTCGGCGTCGGGCGCTGGCGAGAGCCAGAACTGAATAGTGCGGGAGCGGCCTCTGGCTGGCCCAAAGAGTCCTAAAGCGATGGCCCCACAAAGCCTAGAAAGAAGCCTGCCCGGGAGCCCCAAAACACTGACCCCATACGTGCCTTGTGGGAGGGCTCCTACCTGTGAGACCATCGTGAGCCTACGAAATTGAGATTTCAAGGAACGGAAACGGCCAACTCGGGACCTCACTTTGGTCACTCTACCCGCGAGAACAACGACACGTGGTGGGCCTCGCTGCGCGTAATCAGTCCCAAGATTGTTGACATGATGTGTGGAACGGAATTCCCACCTCTTCAAGTCGGCAGCAATCTTGGTAGCAAGCTCAGAATTCGTGGCAATGACCTTTCCTTCTGCACGAGACACAATGAGCCGTCGAGCCTCGAGCATGCGACAAAGCGTGAGCGTGGCCGCCAGCGCTTCCTTGCCCGCTCCTCCGCCCTCGTCTACCTCCTCCTCCTCCTCCTCCTCCGCCCTCCTCCTCCTCCTCCTCCTCCTCCTCCTCCTCCTCCGCCCTCCTCATCCTCCTCCTCCGCCCTCCTCCTCCTCCTCCTCCTCCTCCTCCTCGTAATTACCTCCGCCCTCCTCTCAGGGGGGCACCAGGTGGGCGCGCTCGCGCGCGCGCAGGGGCGCTTGGCGGGCGCACCACGGGAGTCCACGGGCAGACGTACAGCGCCAAGGCCACGGCCTCCACGGGCCGCAGCAGCGCGTCCCGCGGCGCCAGGAGCGGCGAGGGCGAGGAGGAGGAGGAGGAGGAGGAGGAGGAGGAGGAGGAGGAGGAGGAGGAGGAGGGAGGTGGGAGGTGGGAGGAGAAGGAGGAAGAGGAGGAGCGGGAGGAGTAGGCGGAGGAGTAGGCGAAGGAGGAAGAGGATGAGGAGGAGCATGAGGATCAGCAACGGGGGGGGGAGCCCCCCCCACCCCCTCTTGAAGGCCAGGGATGGGGGTGGGGGAGAGGACGGCCTCCCGCCCTCCTCCAGGAGAGGGGAAGCGCCCAGCTGGGAGGGGGGAGGCCCAATGGGGAGGGGCGAGGGGGGCCTACCCCTTGCCTCCCCGTTGGGCTCCCTGCTGTCGGCGTGAACCTGCAGGCGAACTTAGCAGCGACGTCGCAGCCTGCTGCGCCGCCTGTGCGTGGCTCGAGCCTCGGACGTGCTCTTCGAGCCCGAGCGCCGTCGATGAGGAGGCGGCGGGGGCCTCGGGGGAGGACCGACGAGCCGCAGGGAAGGGCAGAGAGGATGCCGAACGCGAGGGACGAGACGAGACAGATCGGAGCCCGCAGGATAGATCGCAGGCGTCCGCCGCCGTCTCGCCTGCGTGCTGCCAGGGGCTAGACGATAAACCGAGCGACAGAAGGATACCCTGGGCTTCCTATTAAGCGTAGAT